GGGGTCGGGCGAGCCGAGGGGTTAAGCTACCGGCGCGTGGGGTGGAGGAGGGCAATGGGCACCTGGGTTGCGGTGCGCTGTCACCGTGCCGCCGGCAGAGTGGTGGTGGTGGGAGTGGTGTCTAGAAGTAATTTTAGTAAAGGAGAAGGACTATTGTTTTTGTTTTCATTTAATAAGTTATTATTTAAATGAATGTGTAGGTTTTCTAAAGTTAGTCTGGTTGGTGGTAGTGGTTTTCTATTTCAGTATATCGAATGTTGTGTGTGGATTGTTTAATGTATTGGCGCTGTCGTGGCAATTTAGAGAATGACCGCGCTTTTTTCGAAAGATCTGCGTGTTTTTTGGGGGGCCGATTTTTTTTGAGGGAATTCTGTGATTTGATGAAACTTTTTATACTGTTTTGTGATATTGTGTGCGACTTTTTCTGAAAGGGGTCAAAATAAGGTTAAGCAAGTGTACTTGTCGGTGTTTTTGTTTTATAGGAGAAAGTGTAAGTGTACATTTTTTGTTTTTTGTTTGACTATTTTGGCGGCGTAGTATGTTGTTAATGAGTTTGTAATGTACAGGTAAAACAGGTATAAAAGGTTTCATTCAAATCAAGATTCCTCAAAAAAATGCTTGTCCCCAAAAAACCACAGATCTTCTGGAAAAAAGCGGCGCTATTCTCTAAATTGCCATCGCTGCGAAGCCAAATATATTGGTCAAAAGGCAGAACTTTCATAGCAGAATCAAGGAACACATAACAGTGCTTGGAAACACAATCACTGTAAATCTCACTTTGCAATCTTTACTCAGACAGGCCCATACTTCATCCACAAGCAGACATTGGTATACTGGAATAGAAAACACTACACACCAGACTAACTTTAGAAAACCTACCACATTCATTTAAATAATAACTTATTAAATGAAAACTAAACAATAGTCTTCTCCTTTAATAAATTATACTAGACACACTCGCCACACCACCCTGCCGGGGCGCACGGTGACAGCGCACGCACCCAGCATTGCCTCTCCACCCCACCGGCGGTACTTAAAGCCCCTCGGCTGCCCGGACGCGCGTATTCGTTTTCGTGCTTCATTAGCAGGTAAGGAAGCTCAACTTACATTTCTTGTTTTTCCTGTATAAAAATAATTCTTTAGTGTCGCTATCTCTATTTTTTTTTTCATTCGCCGTTTTCTTACGTATTAATGGCTTAACGGCCCCCCTTTTTCTTTCTCCGTTGTCAAATATATTTTCCAAAAAAATTTGTAAATTATTGTAAACTTTATCATGATCTTGTTGTTAATTCACGTTTAATGTTTTATGTTTTTTGTGTTTTTCTTCTTGTATCAGACACTGATGATGATGGCTAAGCCATCGAAAGCTGCTTTTTGGGACATTAAAAAACATTGTTGGCAATGACAACATTTTTTAAATATTTTAAAAATGCAAAGATATCCTACCAATTTCATATACCGACAAGGAAGGACGAAACGTCGGCACTCAGCCTTCGACGCGGCGTCACGCGGACAGCCAGATCACCAGCATGATCTGGCCGCGAAGTCTACGATCAAATTGCTGGAAAGTTGGAGAGGCAACGTTCGTATAAAAATGCCTTTACCTCTTAAAAATTACATTTAAACATTTTTTAAACAAAAGCACATTTCTTCAAATTCTGTTCAAAAATGTTAAATTTTCATAAATTACGGAGAAACCTATAGAGGCGTTTTGAACGCATATTTGTGCATCTTATAGTGCGAACCAACGCTCAGATTTTTAACGGTCGTCCATTGTTTGTCCAGATATGTCGTGCGAACTTAAGTTAGTATTTTAATTTAATTCAATAATGCCTTATTTTACGTGGCGATGCTCAGGTCATCAATCCTGCTCTTCCGCCTGATCACGCAAATTCCGCTACCATATTTCACCATCTACCAGACAATAGAGGAATCTTTCGGGGGCGAAACAGGCCTCCTTTAGGCTTGAGGATATTTTTCGTGCAGGAAATCTACAACATGGGTCAGCCGGCTTCACTTCCTCTGCGAAGAAAGGCGTACAAAGGATTTCTTCACACTCAAGTCAGATTTGCCTGATTAGATGTCAACCAGCCAATTTTGAAACACCAGACCCATACGCTGACATCTAGGTCACCGAAACGGCCTCATTTACTACCGTTGACACCATGTTGTGAACACAATATAAGAATTTTTTAAATCTGAAATGTATTATATCAGAACCCATTTCTAACAAATGATTTTTTCGAGTTTGAAAACAATGCCGTGTAATGAGGCGCTAATTGCACTCACCGAAGTCAGCGGTGCAGAAAAGGTGCAGCATCTCCTCCGCAGTGCAGGGGCGGCACTCTGCAACAGAGAACAGAGATCACGTGAGTAAAGGGACAGCGCTGTCACACACATAAACGGCGAACAAATAGCTTACTTACTCTAATACCTACTTACAAGTAACTTGCAAATGATTTATATCCAGATTCATGCAACGCAATGCTGGAAGAAAGCTTTATCCTGACTGGTATGGTATTGTGGTCCATATTTAAAAAACAGAATGGGTTAAAAAGGTATTTATTAATTGTCAATCACTTTTTCATTCAAAAATTTCAATTGAGAGAAGGTCGCATTTCACACAAACCTCTTCACCATCTATGTGACTCGATACTAGGTATATAAAATGTTGCTAGAAAAAAAGATGTGTAAATCAAATACAGTAATTCGAAGTAATTAGACTTCCAAAGACGAGTAAAAATAAAATGTTCATAGAAGCAATTGATATTAGTTTGCATAAATACATGTGAGGTCTGCAAAAAAACTTACAATGCACCTGAATACTCTTTTCGTGAAAAGAACACGAACTAGTAAGATAACATTGTTCATATTTTCCATGTGATTTGACTACATTGTGTGAATTCTTTCACAACTATTGAACAGAACTTCGCCATCTCACATAGTATGTTTCAAAAGACTTCGACTAGTTCTACTCGTATTTCAGATCAAGTGAAAAACGTGCAAATGGTAAGGAATCATTCTATTTGTCGTGTATTATCTTACAATAAAGAATGCCTAGCCAACATAATTTTTTGTTTACTTTTTATATTTTTACACTTTCAGGATCAAAATTGAAGTGAGAGTATTCTGAATACATTTTCTTGAACTCCAATTGAATAAACGTGTTTTTTCGGCTCAGAAGATATGTTGCCATGTACACATGCGTTATTCACAGGATATCCAAGGTGATAAGTTAGAAAAGAAACCTTAAAATATCAAGAATTCTATAATTCAGTGTCGCAATTGAGTTAACATCTTTTACCTGCAGTAAAAAATATTCTCTGTTTCAATAAGTCTGGAAGAGTAAATAAAGCAAATTACCCAATTATTTACTTAGTTTATGCTTAGTAAGTCTTATTTCGTTTAATCAACCTTTCCTTTCCTTGGAACATAATTTTTATTCATAAATTATCAGTTACAATCTACATTATCGTGAGAATTTATTTATTTGCTGATGAAGTTGCGGATTATAAAACTACATTATAATAACACATTAATTCAATAATTATAGAAACATAAAATTGTAATTCTTGTGCAAGACTGCTTAAAATTACGTGCACAATTAGGTCAAGAATAATATAAAAGAATTTCCACAAGTGGTCCACGACCTATATTGAAAGGTGATGACGAATATGTTTAAAGGGAATAAAAACAAGAAAAAAATCCCTTACTCAAAACGTGCATGTCCCTGTACGTAAAAAATCATTTGGATATTGAACAATACAATTTCCTGCAACAGTTGGTTCCCAGGGTGCCCGAAGTAATGAGGCTGACTTTCTTAACTTGCTATTCCACAATAAATTTGAAGGTGACCAGTTGATGACGCCAATGAAATACACAAACTCCACTGCTATTTCGTGCGCATCACGTCTTGAAGCTGGATTCATAACGACGCGCGATGCAGGGCAGTTCGACCTATCGGTCGATCACCAGCGATGGGGAGTGGGCGTAAAGGGAGACGGGGTGGGGAGCAGATTGGCGCCCTGTCAGCAGCAATCCGTGGCGAACATCGATCCTCGCACGCGAGTCGTGGGTCTGAGCTTATCGCGGCATCGCGCTGCACCCACCGGGCGCCGCGACCGCCCCGCTGTTCGCAGGTGACGACAATCGATGTCTGCCGTCGATTGGTCTGTCACCCGCGGGAGCGGAACAAAGAGAAAACACCTACATTAGTACGGCACCGATTACGTTTGTTTTTTCTTCTTCCCGGGGCTTTTTTCAGCTTCAGGGGCATGGCGATTTCCTCTATCCACTATGCGCAGAGTACCCACTATGTCCCTCAATGCG